ATACCAATATTGAACTACTCTATCTATGGTTTGGTAACATTAGGCCTCATCTATTTTAGAAACTCTCTAACAGATTAGTACCAGGGATGCATGCAACAGACATTATTGTTTCAAAAAAAAAAAAACCAACCCACCAGAGCAACTGAATTGTTGCCCGCATACTTCATTTCTCCTGCCAACCAATTCAAGCTACAACTGCAGTTCTTTAAAAGAAATTGCTATGCTGGATACATTAGGAAAAACTTACAATATTCTTATTATTCCTAAGAGTCTCTAAAGCCTATAGACTAATTCTGCGTAGCTGCTTAGGCAGTGGATGTATGGAGAAATGCGTCAAAATATGTGCAATAAATGCGGTAAAACAAGAGGCTTGAAGATGGAGGTTAGGCTATAATAGTATTGTATTTTAGTTGATAGTTTTAGCTAGCATCCTAGTCCAACAAAACATTAGTTAACAGAATTTTCATGCTAAATATCCAAACTGTTTGGGTATATTAAGGCGATGTGTTAAAATGACAATTTTGTGAAATTTGAACTTTCAGAAGCTGTTTTAACTTAAGCGTAATTCTTTGCATTCGTTTAATAAGAGGAAGCTCTGTTCTGTCACTGTGATGACTTGGACAAAGGTAGATATTCTACCTTTTTGGACAGTTGTTACAAGGCATTAAAGCTGCATTGTTGTTTGAAGAAATGTGTAAAACCAGGAATATTTTGTTTTTAAAAGATGAGAAGTTCTGTGGAGAAAACTCTGTCTTCTCCATTTAGTATTATTCTAAACAATGATAACTTGTCATTTTAAAATATTAAAAACTGATGATTGTACCTTCACATGTCAGGAAGCACTGGAGATGCCTATGGATGCATACGTCTACAGAGAAATGTCTGAAGTGCATATACTAATTACACTAATTTTTCCTTTCATTGTGATGCTTAAATATTGCTTGTAACATCAGTGTTATAAACTCTCAAACAACAAAACCTAGAGCTTTTTATTTCATATCTGTGCCGGGTTATCACTTGTTTAGAATACAGCATCGTTTCCCAAGTTTCTTAAAGACTTTCTTATACGATGTCCACTAGTGCTTTTGGCTAGGACTCTGAGCTGCATGAAGTAGATTCAAGCTGCATCAACCAACAAGGGGGAAAGCTGTGTTCAACAACTAGTAGGCTTTTCCCCAGCAAAGGAATTAAGGGTTATTGTTTTCCAGAAAAGAAGCCATCTCATTCTACTACAAGTGCATGGTGCAAGTTAACCAAATTGTATTGAAGTTTCAGTTTAAGCCCAAGAGCTTCTTTTCTTCGCATAGGAGAGTTAAGAAATGGGGAGTTAGTCCTAACCTTAGAACAGCCAGCCACGTGATTACTAAGCACCTTGTTTTCTTTCCAGATTAAAACAAACGGAACGTACGGCACTACACTTGAAACGCAGTTAAACAGTGACCCTTTTGAAGATTTGTCATTTAAGCTGCTTGTGTCAAAGATGCAGACGTCTGTTCAAACATCACCTGTTACGACTTTAAACCAAAAGGAGTTGATACAGTTGCCTTCAGCAACACAAAGAAATGCTGATACTTTGAACACTGTAAATTGCATGCCAGCAATGCCTCCTATTCCAACCTTTAACACATCCCAGGAACATAAGCGCAGCTCTCCAAATCCGTTTATTACTGGACTGAACTGCACAAATCCATTCACTGAAAGAACTCCTCATGCTGGAAACCCATTTAGAACGGAGACGCAAGAGTCTGAAATAACTTCACATTTACTAGAAGGACATGCCGCTTGCAATCCTTTCCCTTCTCTAAATCCCCCCAGCTGTAATACAAGCAAGCCTGTATTTTCTGTTGATGCGTCTGAAAACACTTTTTGCTTGCGAAGTAAATCTCTCATGGTAAAAAATGTACAGCCAAAAGGATGGGTAACGTTTGATGATGATGATGATAATTTCAACGTAAAGCTAAAGCCATCTAAAAGTGTTCAAGATTTTAAGCAAATCAGTTCCAGGAAGTCAGCTGGATCTCCAGATTTGCTGGGCACTGAACAAAATACTTTTCTTGGTTCAGACTTTAACTTTGATAATGACTGGAATAAAAGTTCTACTGATTGCTTCTATACAATGCCAGCAAGAAGACCACCTGCACCTCCTATACCATCAAGAACAACCAGCAACAGATCCCCTGCTGATCCTTTCACTTCTTTGGCACCTAAGGTGTCACCAACACAAGATTTTACAGAAAGATAGATGTTCGAAAATATAAGTGGTTATATTTGTTGCTACATTTATCCAGTAGAATAATTGGGCATTTGAGATTATTCTGTGTGCAATAATTAATTGTTGAATGCACTGAAACATAACTCTACTCATAAACAGCCACTATTGTTTGTGTATAAATTTTGAATATGTATATATGGTAGAGCACAAAAAATTATCTGAAATCTATTAAAGTCCCGATGTAATAGTATTTGAATAGACAGAGAAAAGAAGGATGAGCTACTAATCTCATTAAAATATCCCAGTCTTGGAAATAGTTTTTGCTTTGGGAGTGCCCTCATTTCTGTTCCCCCTTGTGGAATTTCAAAAAAAGAGGCTCCCTGCTAGTAGCCTCCCCACTCCCTTTTTACTGTTTTGTTGAGTGATATTTTTAAGTATTTACCAAAGAGCTGCCAAAGTTTATTGAGATTTGAATGTTGACAAGTATTGTTTAGAAGTTGTTTAATTTATAAGAGAGGCTATGGAGATTTGTAAGGCTTATATTTGAACTTGAGGCACAACAGAAATAGTTTAATTTCAAAATACAAACAAAACTTTGTGTATTAATATATTCAATATTTGACTTTAATTTTCTGTGTCAGTACATTTCAGCTATTCAATCTTATTGTGACATATACTCACTAGCAGTACTTCAGAAGAATCATTCCGTATCGTCCATTTATGCATTACTACTTTAAAGATACTTTTTTTCCCACAGGTTTTCCTTTAACCGCTGGAAAAAAAAATTCTCCTTGGGTTTTGAGATACAAAGCAGTCTTTACCAGTTGCAGACAACATACTGGAGCTGGCTCGTCCCAGTCTCCTCTCTTTCATGTCAGAAGGGCTTTCTTGTCCTGTAGAAAGACCTCATTTAGGGAATGGGCAGCCACCATCACAGAAAGAGAAAGTCATCTTAGGTGATTGGGCTGTCTGCTCACCATCCTCGCCATCTACTAAACTTACTGCTGTATTTTTAAAATCTTACTTTCAAAGAAAACAGGAGAATGGTAACTCTCTGAGCTGAACAGTATCATTCTGTCACTTCTGCAGTTAAAACTGAGTGACTCTTCCCGGCCCAGAGGCAGGGACCATCCTCTGCACGGTGGTGCTGCTTTGAGGCTAGTGAAGGCTAACTCACGGTTCTACATACCACGCTATAGAAACACAACTGTCTGTGCTTTTATGATTTTCTAAAGCTCACATGAGGTTACATAAAATACGGTATGTTGTGATCTTGAGGCAGTTTAAAATAACTGATTTCCTTAGCTCCATTTATGTATGCTATAAACCCCTGCAGTTCTCCTTAAAATTTGCAGTGTCTTAAGACATAACTTGGGTACGCAGCTGCATACTTTCACCCACAGCTGAATGCATCACAGTGTTGTCATCTCTTGGGGGACTGCGAATACATGCCTACACGCATGGGCTTACGTGCAAACAAACTCTACGGGTTCTGCAAAACCAGGGACCGCCATGCAACATACTCGTGTTAGATTTATAGCAGCAAAAATACACGGCGGCAGTACTTTTTTTTAAAAAAAAAAAAAATTCTCAAACGCTATCAAAACATTATTTATAAAATAATCCACTCTTCCTTTAAACAGTCTCTGATTAGCCATAAGCTGCAGGAGCGAAGATAGTGAGTTTTATATTGTGCTTTTTTTTTTTCCATTCCGGTTATTAAACAGTACTTGTACATTTAGAACAGCAGCGGCACTGTACGCTTTGTGCTTCGGTGTGTGAATTACCTTGTTTTAAAGTGTTGCTCTACACATCTGTGTGATCGGTGTTTTGGTATATTCTTACATTAGCAAAACAATTTGGGGGGGGGGACGGGGGGACTTTTTTGCTAGTGGGAGTTCCGTGATAAATATGTTCTTTGTTCAATATTTAATTACAGTGATTAAAAACTACTGTCGAAAATGTACCTGGTATACAGCACCTCTACACTTCACAGGATTACGGAGACCGACAGCAACGTACTGCAAAGAAAAGCTCCAAAAATACAGAGAGTGTGTGTGTGTATGTATCTCTCTATAGCGCTAACCGCTGTAACGTGTATTAATGAAAATAATTACTAGCAGAAGCTCTGAAAATACCAAGAATTAAAATCGGAATCGCTCGGCGCCTTTTCATGAATTCTGTGTTCCCCGTGGTAAACCGCTCTGTGAAACGTGACGATTTTTCTCGCTTGTGACGCACACCCCTCCACCCCCCACGCGCGTACGTCCGGCCCTGTATCCCTTCCGCCGCTGCAGTATTGAACAACGTTCCGCGTCTCCCCGGTGGAAGGCGGCGGTGTATTCATGAAATAAACATACCTGTCCTTGAGAAATATTAGCTTTTTTCTCTCTCTCTCTTTGTATCTCAGGCACCGCCCCGCCCCCCTCTTCCCCGCAGCGGCCGCAGGGAGGAGTGGCCAGGGCCCTTTAAGTGGCTCTGATGACGACAGAGGGGGGCCGGAAGCGGAAGCGCC